CCGGAGGTTGGGAGGGCGCCTCGCCGCCCTCACCTCGGCTGCATTCTCGGACTGGGATGTGGTTTCTCGGTTCAGAGCATCCCCGTGCCGGCTCTCCGCCTCCTCTGGGAGACTTGTCCCCAAAACACACGCAGAGGTACACTCTCACTCCGAGAAGGGATCCCACGGCAGCAGGGGCCCAGGGAACACCCATGACACGAAATAACCATGGGAGCTCACCTGCACTCTCGCTGCTGCCCTCCTGCCCTTGCAGTTTGGTCCCAGAACAACACCACAAAAACCCCACAAAGTCCGGACCAAATTTTTAACAACAATTTTTCATTTCGTGAAAGTGGTTTAGCTCCACATCCTCAGGTGATGAACTCCTTTTGTGTGGGAACTTGCTTCTGGGACCCCTCTGGACAGCGGCTCAAGATCCAAGGGTGCCACGGGGTTTTTCTGCAGAGCATTCAGTATTATGCAGCAGGCCCTAAGGGCTGAGGAGCTGAAGCACTTGTCCTGTGTGCTGCGAACAGGAAGGGAAGCATGGCTGATTGGAAGGAAGAGGAGGGAAAGGCTGAAAATGAATTAGGGTAAAGTAGCCCGGTATGTGGGGGGCATCGTTGTGTCCTGACGTGTTTGAGATTTAGGGTTATCCTGAGTCTGGGGAGTGGCATGTTTTCCTACAGCAACAGCCTATGGTGCGTCAGGGACACCCATCTTCACATCCTTCTCCCTGCTTGACATGACTGACAAAAGCTGAGGCAGTTCCTCCGTTCTTCCTCCTTTCCTCCTCCTGCACTGAAGGCTCAGCGGTATCAGCTTGTTGGATCTATCCTCTCCTAATTTCTCTGCTTGAAACATTCTTATTCTCTCAATAGTAGTAAAGTTGACAAAACATCCTTCGAAGCGCAAGATGGATCTTCTCTTTTTTCTTTCCCTGGTTTATATGGATTAAATTGGACTTTCCGAGTTTGCCACGCAGAAGAAGCCTAACATGCAAGGAGCAACTTGGAGGCTGCATTATCCATCTCAGCTACTGCCAAGCTACAGGGGATGACTATTAAGTATCCGCTCTGCAAGTCACTGTGAGCTGATGAATCCGTGCCAAGAGCTGCTGGCACACTGCAGAAAATACTCTTTATGAAGAGTTTGCCAAAGACAAGAAAGACCCCCACAGGAGCTCTTCACAAAGCAGCGCAGCTTACAGCAGAGCTGCTGGCAGGCCATCACACAGCCAAGTGACAATGGTGGCACAAATGAGGGAGAGAGAAGGTTGGGTATGAAAGACAGGGGCTCACCACACATTTATCTACCTAATTTGCATGCTAAATACCAATTCAAGAGTTAAAAAAGAAGGAAAAATGTAATATAAATCCAGCCAGGGCAGAGCAGAGTTTGTTTTTTTGTTTGTTTGTTTATTCTACCTTATTCTACCTATTCTACCAGTGAATTTGCTTGCTTTGAGGAGGAAAGAGTAACATTAGAGAAGTGAAAGACCTGCAGCATCCTGGATCTCATAGCATAGGAGAAATTCTTCCTTTTTTAATCTGATATAAAAGGATGCTCACATCCTAAATGGAATGTCAATATTCGTAATAGACATAATCTTAAAAAAACATCAAAACCCCAAAACCCACTAAAAACCGGAAAGCATTTCATAATCTAAACTCTTTTGGAAGAGTGTGGAATGCTTTTTAACTTAAGATACCTTTAGAAAAGAAAGCTGAGCAATGAAAACGTTGCTGAAAGAAATGGTCATTATTTTGACAGCGAGAAAGCAAGGCTGTTGCTATAATGCCTATTCATTTTTCTTACAAAATAAATTCATAGCACTTTCTCCCAGGTGGAAACACAGGAAGGGACAGAAAAATGATAGGGAAGGCATGCTTACTATCTCATCTTCACAAATACAAAGCACTTGGGTACTGATATCCTTTTATGTGATCCAGTTTTACACACAGGCTTTTAAACACTTCCCTCTCCAGGCTGAAGGTAAAGAATAGCATTTCCAGAAGGGGCAGTTGAGACAATTGGGTGATATTTTAAAGGATTTACTTTAAGTTTTAAAGGAAAACTTAATTGGACATTTTTCAGATATCCAGGCTGTCTAGATTACTTTTCCTATCGAGGTTGCAATGATATTTTACTCACAGAGACAAGCCATTTTTGTAGATGGATATCACCTGTATCTTTAGGACAAAACTTTAGCCAGGTCACTGTTCGAGTGCTTGTAAAGTGCTTTACTGTGTGGGGTTTTCTTTGGTTGTTTTTTTTTTTTTTTTTTAAATCTGCTTGAATTTTTAACTGGCTTAATGTCATTTGGAACCTAACTTTTGCAATAGCATTTACAGAGTAGGGCACTAACTGCAACCCTGCCAAGTTGTTGCTTGGCAGTCACAATAATTCTACACTTACAGAGAGGGGAATGGAACATACAAATATTAAACCCTTGCATTGCAGTAATAAATCAGGACTAAATCAGCAATTGGCCTCTTTGTTCCCTGGAAGCAGAGCAAAGTATCCTTAACCAGCACCAAAACCTTGCATAAAGAATTCTTCAGCTGAAGGAATGACACACATTCTTATCACATCATATGTAAACAAAAGATAGGAGTAAGCAGTGATAAAACTGAAGTAACATAATTTAATACTAACAGTAATTATCATTACTATCATTATTAGGATTGTGTTGCAGCCTAGGCTGCACCAACACCAGGCACTGTTTTCCCACAGAACAAAAATGTGGGTAATTTCTGCCCTGAGGAGTTTACCTTAAAATTAAATGTTTTTCCTGAGGGCCTCAAATGCCATTAGTTACACATTTGGGTTGTGGCAAGTGCAATGGGACCTAATTTAATTGCAGCCTTTTAGATATGTGTAATATAAATTTTAAATAATGTAATAATTGTAATAATTGTTCTGACAGGAGACAGTGCAAAAGCATTTTTCTGTGTCTATAGGCTAGCAGTCCTTTTGGAAATTAGGGACTTTGGAACATGGAAAATGAGCTGAAGTGATAATTGAAGGAAGCAATAAAACATGAATATGCTAAAATAGGGGATGAACTTGCAGACTGTGTCTTTTGTAAAAGGAAAATATGCTTTCTCCAGAGCATTTTTTTCTCCACCTTGGGAAGAAATGCATATTTTAAACCATTGCTTGAGATTTCTGGCTGTCCTGAGGAGACAAGGCTGCAGCAGTACAGAAGGGCTGCAGTGCCAAAAGGACACAGGCCTTTCCCAGCTCTGCTGGCTGCTTCTCAGAGGCAGCTCCAGATGGGCAGAGCCACTGTGGCAGCAGCTCTGGCTCAAAGTGGCTTTCAGGGATGAGGGACGCCAAAAGTTTTTTGAGGTGAGGAGGGCTTGAGAGGGAGCACTGTAGTAACCAGGTCCGTGGTATCTGGGGCATGCTGAGATTCACAATCTTCCTATTTCTATATATATATATATTTAACCACACTGCGTAGCTGCTGGTGTAAGGAAAATCAAGGATGTATACGTATATCCAGACTTGCAGCTGACTGTTTAACAAAATAACTGTCAGAGGTTTATGAAGGCTTCTACCCAAATTTGTGGTGGGAGTGAAAGGACTGTTGAGCATTCAAAACTGTCGGAAAGCAAATATGGCTACGATGGGGTTGACTTCCAACATGGCTAGGCTCATGGCCATCCTTCACCTTGCACTGCTGTGCTGAGATACCACAGCCACTGAAAACAAAGCAGGGAAGGATCCTGCTGGGAAACAGACAATCCCTGGGCTGGGCCATTACAGACATGCCCCAATGTGTTTGTGTTCACTGTGTGGGGCAGTGCAAATGCATCCCAAATCTAAACTCCTAGTGGCCTCCTGTGACTACATGCCATCTCGAGGGAACACCTAAATTAAAAGGGCTAGTTAATATTTTTGATTCAGAAAGGGCTAGAATGATGTGGCAATGTACAGAATTCACACTGTTACTAGATTTTGATTATTGTTGAAAAGCCTCAGAGACAGTAAAGGGAAGCCCAACCTAAGGAGCTGAATAAACACCTAGGCAGACAAAGGGATTAATGCTGGGTTAGCATGACACTGGATGGCATATTTTGGGTCATATAACCTAGTGGGGTCATAATCGAGAAGAACTACTCAGAAAAAAAGTCCTGGCATTACTGTGGAAATCTCAGTGGGCATCCCTGTTGAACAAAATGCTAGTTGGAAATTAAAAATCAGTCTGGAAATATTGTAATTCCCGAAGGTTTGTTATTTGGTACGACATGAGTACTTTGTTCAGTTCTGGGAGCTCAGCTGCAAAATAGATACAGAAGATACAGAGATCATCTGGAGACAGGCAGTGCAAATGACTAGAGGCCGAGAGAGAAAATTTTGTATCTGGGTGGCATGAAGAAAGAACATGATAGAGCTTTATAGAAAATAATGAATGGCACAAAAAAGATAAATCCTACATTTCTAGGCACCTTTTTTTTCATAATTTAAGAACAAGAGTTCGTCCAGTGGAATTAAAAAGATATAAATTTGAAAGGGATGAAAGGAAATACTAGCTATTAAAGTGAAAGCATTCACTGTTACATGAGATTAAATTTGGAGAAAGGACTAGATTGTGTAAAACGTGTAAAGGGATAAAAATGTTAATATTTCAATGCATAAGCCTGTCATAAAGCCAGAGGGACAGGGAAAGAATCATTAATAGAAACTCATCTTTAGGCAAATTATTGAATTTCTTGAAGCTTCTGAAGCATTTACTGCTGATGGTTAAAGGGAGAAGCTATGACAACAAATGATACTAGTTGTCATCTCTCATTTAAGATGCAGATTAGTTTTTTTTTATCCAGGAAGGACTAATGTCCCACAGCCACAGTCACCCATTTGTGCCTGAGTGAACATCTTCTCCAACTGCACACTCAGCTATTTCTTTTTCCACAGTTTGCCAAGGACAACACTGCTGGGAAACCGCAAAATGTTCTTTTGAAACTCATTTGCATTAAACTCATTCCCTTCAGGGACTCAGGTATTGAAAGACACATCCACGTGGCAAGTGCAGGTCTGTATTTGTATGATCCATGATCTAAGAAACCCTGCTAAGCACCCTCCCATTCCAGTTTGGAAACCTCTCGATTACTGGTGCTAGTAACTTGCTGTGTGTTCATTCTCAACCCAGCTCAGGGGTACACTGAATATGTGACCAATTAGTGTTTCTTCAAACAGATGCAAACTTACTAGGTGAAAGCCAACAGAAGCTAGATTCTTCAGAGACAGAATATTTCCATTTAAAAAAAATCTTACAATCCCCAGACAACAAAATTTTCACTTCAAGCCTCGCAGCCATTAGTAACACAAAACTCTCAACTGGAGACATTAAGAGAGTTTTTTTTCCCATAATAATATAGATTCACCCATTTTAGATATGTATTTTTCATATTCAGTACAACAACATGCTAAATGTGCCTGGCAAAAAGAGTAGGGACTTCATATATCTTGGGAAAGATGACAATGTGACAAGAACACTCATATCCCAAGATGTTCTGCCAACTGAAAACTACTTCTACCTCACAGAGATTTACTTATATATAAACCTGAATTATGCTTAAATTTGATAGTGAATTATGATGCAGTACAGAGCTGTACTACACCTGTGACATTCTGAACTAGTTTCAGCCAGGACAGAGTTAAGTTTTTTGATAACCTGGAGGGGGCATGGCCAGACCCTAATATTATTTGGTACCTCCTCACATCATTTCCAGGGACTAGGGAAAGGGAATCTCTTGTGATTCCAAGGAGAAAGGCATCCTTTTCTGGTTGGGTGAGAAACATGGTCGGGAAGAGCTGGTCGGTATTTATTGTGGTTTTCCATGTAAATAGTTTCTTTGTCTTATAACTCTTGTTATTAATATTGTTGCTGTTACTGTTTCTTTTCTTATTTCATTGCTGTTTCCAGTAAATTGTCCTTACCTCAATCCATGATCTTTCCCTTTCATTTTTTCATTCAGAGGCAGGGGAAGGGGGAGTGAGTGGCAGCGTGGTTTTAGTGGGAATACTAAATTGGAGAATGCATTCCTAAACCACAACACCTTCTCACTCTTTTATAAGCTACATCACCCAAACAAATCCTCAAGCTCTTTGCTTAGTACATGGGAATCACAGTTTTTTAAATGCTTATTTGTGTGTTAAACCAGTCTGAATTGTTCAAGTAGATTCACCAAACTGTACTGCATTTCAACAGACTCAAAATGTGCCCATCTTTTCTTGCCTTACATCAAATACCCAACTGGTGGTTCACAGATGGAGTCTGTGCAGCAATTTGGTACCAGCAATGGCTGTTCCCCTTCACATTTCCCATCCACATCACAAAATGTGATGGCACAGCCAAAGCAACCACAGAAAATGGTAACAATTGCATTGCAGTAGTGTTTTGCCACCAACACTATCTATATAATGTTTTGTTCTTTTTTGTTGTTGTTATTTTTTAGAGTCAGGATGAATTTTCATTAAAATGTTGATGAACAGATACATACCCCACCCCTGCCCCAAGC